TGTTTTCTAGTAGGACAGTAACCCTATGAAACATTTACATTCTCTAAATCCTTGAGGATAGTTTAATAAATAAAAACCCTATATTTTGTAGTGAAGAAACTTCAACTGAAAAGAGCCATGACTTATAAAGGACTAAATCACCAGAATTCTTAGAAAACAGATCATTTTCATTAGTTGATTGTTCTGGTTACCGGTAGAGTAAAGGAAAAAACAAAGACCATTTATTTCTAACTTTCCCATTTAAAATGTGTTTTAGCTTTTTTTTTCCACTTGCATAGCAAAGTATAATAAAACATGAAAAAAATTTACTTTCCTAGTGAAGCCCTGATAGCACCTGAGAGTACTATTTCTACATTATTTTATTATCTATGGTGGAAGTGTAAACGCAGTGGGGGTGTAAGTGGTGGGAGTTAAGTGCGGAAGTTTCAGGGGATTAGGAGTAAATGAACTTACCGCACATTATCCCCTGTTGTTATTTTCAAAGCCAAATTCTTAATAGTCATTGGTTTGGTTAATTACCAGTGTAATTAAAAGTTTCCTGGAAGAGAAAAGAAAATAGACAGCTGAATAGTTAACTTCAAAATAATCATCACCTTTCAGTATTCCAGTTGGAATTGAATGAACAGAATGTATTACTTCAGTGAGGAACTTATAGCTCTTTTGCAATAGAGCAAAGAAATGTCCCTTTGAGTGATAAAGGTGTCTTTAGATCAGCACAGCATGTTTCCTCTTACCTTTGTGTGTAGCTATTATTTTTATACATGCAGTTTTTTAAATGTTTTAAACATAAGCCTTTTGTAAACATAAGTGCCTCTCCTAAATAGTTTTTTTTTTGCCTTCTCGTTACTTACAGCTCTCATTTCTTAATCTTGTCTAATTTTATTGACTTAGCTCTATACAACAACCAGAGTAATCCTATTAAAGTGGAAGTGAGAAACATCACTTCTGTTTCCCAAACTCTTCAAAGTCTTCTCAGCTCATTCTGAGCAACAAAGTCCTATTAGGCCCCATCTCCTGCCTCCCCACCTATTAGGCCCTGTTTCCCCCCACACACCTATTAGACCCCATCCCCCCCATCTATTAGGCCCCATCCCCCCCCACCTATTAGACCCCATCTCCCTCCCACCTGTTAGGCCCCATCTCCCCCCGACACCCCATCTCCCGCCCCCACCCCACACCTGTGATCACAGCTGAGCAGCTCTGCTCTGTGTCTCTGCCCCAGTAATTCTGTCCTCCTTGCTTCTCCTCAAACCTTATTATTCAGATTAGGTTCTGTCTCATGGCCTTTGCACCTGAAGTTCTCTGCTGTTCTCTGTCCCAGAACAGCAGGTCTCTCCCAGTTACTCCGTAACTACGTCTACACAAATGTCACCTTTCACTGGAGTCTTCCCTAAACATCCAAAGGTTCACCACCACTCCTGGCAACTCCTACCCTTCCTTTATTATTTCATTTCTTCCCTCCCCACCATACAGCTCAACACTTAGAACATCATATATAGTTTACTATTTATTATTTTAAAGTGTTACATAATTTTTAGTTACTAATCATTTATTTAACGTATTAACATATTTTACTCATTTTTATATCACTTATTTAGTATTGATTATCAAGTATATATTTACCTCTTTCTCATCCAGAGGATGGTAAAAAAGGAAGAAAATTTATGGGGTGATACAAAGACAAAAAGTACAAAACAAGATTTTTAGATTTAGTTCCAAAATGTTAGCAGTTATTTAAATGAAAATATAGTTAGCCATATTAATCAAAAGGCAATGATTACCAGATTAGAACAAGAAAAATGTCCAACTCTACCCACCAACTCTAAGGGCACAGAAAATTACAAAGTACAGGAGTGGGAAAATTTACATTACAGAATCTACCAAAAGAATCCTCCGTGGCTGTGTTAACAGTGAGCGTCAGGAGCCTGAAGGGAAGCGTCGCTAGAGCTGGAGAGAGCGCCTTCCTAGCTAGGGAAGGTTCTGCTCGCTCAGATACTAGCAGCCAGTATCAGGAACGAGAGGTTCTGTCTTTACTGGTGGCTCAGAGATTGAAGCGCACAGCAGGATATTGTTAATGATTGTATGCCAATACATTGGGAGTTTAAATGAAATTGATAAATCCCTGCTGAAAGATAGCATCAAACCAGATCCAAAGTTTGAATGGTCCTAAGCCATTAAAGAACTTCAATAGATCCATCTGTTCTTCTCCCCACTCTTTCTCTGGTGAATCCTCTCCCCACATACCCCTGGCCAACACCCCAGCTCTTGTATGCATAAATAAATCTTTAAAAATACATAATTAAGGGCCCTCCGTGGTGGCGCAGCGGGTTAAAGCACCACATTAAGAAGCTAAAAGCCACTTCTGCATGAGTTCAATTCCTGCCTGCCCTGGAGGTGACCACATGGCGTGGCAGACCTCTCCTGGCCCGCCCGCTGCTCCCCTCAGCAGTGTACTTCGTCGATCTGTCTGTTCTGCTCCCCACTCTGTCTCTGGTGAAGCCTCTCACCGCCCCCTGAGCCTCTGGGCTGTACCCCAGTTCTGTATGCACAAATAAATAAATCTAAATATATATAATTTTAAAAAAACACTTAGGAAATGAAAATTTTTAAGATCCTGTTTACAATAGCAAAAACATAAGTACCTAAAAATATACAAAATGTACAAGATACAGTAGCCGCATGGGAAATGTCAGCTCTCATGCCTCCTGCCGCTGCAAATGACTATCTCTGAGTATGCTGCATACTCTGCTGACCCGGTAGTCTCAGCTCACCCCGATCTCAGTGGTCACTGCCTGACAAGGTGTGGTCTGTCCCATGCTGAGCCAGGAGGGGAAGGAGGTGACCAACCATCTGCGGCCCAGGATGCGGGCCCATCGCGTGCCTATTGTGTGCAGAATGCAGAGTGGGGCACACACTCCCAGTGGAGACTAGCAAGGAGTCCCTGAACTGACTTTTCTCCTCCTGTGAGACTCCACAGAGAACCCATAAGCTCTGCATGAACCTTTATACTTAACCTTTGTGTCCGCTGATTGCAGTACAGACAGCGGGCTCTATGTTCCCTCCGACAGTCGTTCCCCCCAACAGTCGTTCCCCACGACAGACGTTCCCCCGACAGCCGACAGTCGTTCCCCCCGACAGTCATTCCCTCCGAGAGTCGTTCCCCGCAGCGGTCCACATCACAGGCGCCCTAACAGTGTGACGGCTTTGTACGTCAGAAGATGCAAAGTCACAAGAACTCCCTTCTGTATTCCGACTGAAACTTTTGCCTTCGTTTGAAAACCAAGTTTAGAGCATTTTGCAATGCGTTTTTGCATGTGGAGAATGTTCAAAATTGTGTGACAAACCTGTGGCTTCCACTCACAAGCATTGTCTTTTATTCACCGTCAAGGTTAAAGAGGTGTTCAGGGAACAATGCATCTTCTTTACATGATAGGAGAGACCCAGTGGAGGTCAAATTATTAGAAGCAAAAAATAAACAGCTAGACGATATGTTATTGTTGAGAAAAAGGAAAACTCTACAGGAAATGGAGGAACACTTAGCTGACAGATAGGACCAAGGAAAAACAGAAAGCTGTTCTGACTGGGAAGAGCCAGTACAGTGTCCACCCTCAACTCCCTGATCTCTAATAGCAAGACATGAAGGCAGAACTATCTCCGTTAACGGATCAACTTCAACCTTTGGGCAATGTCATCACACACACTATGGAAAAGGGCTGTTATCATAAAAGAAATAAGCCACAAAAACCCACCTTTGCCCCCAAAGCCTTCTGGGAAAAGTGCAGTCAGTGGATCAGAAAGAAGAGGCCAAAGAGCAAGGGAAAGAAGAAGCAAACCACCCACCCGAGTGGGGGGACGGACTCAGCTGAAGTTCAGCACAGCCAAACATTTAAACTCATATCTCACAACAGGAATGGGGTAGTGTTACTTAATTTGAATGAAAAAAAATCGTCTCATGATTTGAAGCAGGAGAATTTCTTGAGCTAGGCATAAGGACCAGTGACTCTAAAAACAATACTTATTTTCTCACAGTGCCCAAGGCTGAAAGCCCAGGGCAGTGTGCCCACATTGCCACTTTCTGATGAGAACTCCCCCTTGCGGGAGACCTGTGGATGGCTCGCAGGTGACCCCCTGCCAATTCCTGACTGGATTTGGATATGCCTTCCTGTATGTGTGTTACAGTTAGCAGAAAAAGTAAGATTAATGTACCCATCCCATTTCTTGTTCTGCAACTTATTACCATCGATCTGGCTCATTTCCATTATATGCCTTATTGCATTTATGTTTGTTATATGCTTATTGACTATTTTAACTTTTCTTGTTTCCCACAGGAATTATTTTATATATTTATTTTTTAAATCAATGGTAAATTTAAAATACATCAGTAACGTTTTTTCTTCTAGAGTATTATTATTAAAATAGATTTCCTGATTTTCTGATGAATTGAGTTGAAATGATATTTGTGTCCTTAAATATTTGCTGTGTATACACAAAGAGATTTCCAGCTTCCCTTGTTCCTTCCTGCACTTTATTAAGGTTGAGTCAGCTGTTAGAAATATATTTGGTCCTGTTAAAGATTATCTTTGGCTGATAAGATTAAAGAAAGCTTTCCAAAAGTGAACTACCTCCAAATGTAACCAATGAAAGCCATGCTGACTAGAAATAGTCACTTACTCTACATTCTTCTGTATCTTCAGTCAGTTAAGTTGGCATACTACTAAAAAGGAACATTGCTTCCTTCAGTCCTTCAAAGGGACTGGATTTCTGTCACAAGAAAGGAGTTACCTAGGAGTCTTGAGTTCCCCCTGACCCTGGGAAATTAATCCCAACACCTCAGGACATTCATGTTTCCTACCCCAATTCATGTTTCCTACCCCAGGTGGCTGTGGACTGAGGACATTGGTTACAGTCTAAAGCCCAGGCCTTTGTCCCTACCATAGAGGAGAAATAAAACGGCAGCCCTTCAGAAAAGTTCTCATTGAAGTGTGTTTTTTTAACTGTAGATAATTCGCGCCATTCTGCTCTTTCCAACCATTGAGCGGATGTCTGAGTCTCCCAATGGCAGGATCGCCACCCCACTGCTCTGCTGGCTCCGGTATGTGCTCTACGCTACTGGCTACCTGTTACTTAAACCTTGCCCTGAGAAAGTCAAGTCCCTGCTGTTGAACAAGGCCCTTCGAATGCTGGACCTGGAGAATGAGTTTACGGTCCTGAATGTATTGGAACCGTTCTGCCTCGGTAAGCACATTTTACAGTATATATGCTTATCTGTGTAGCAGAAAACTTAGCTAATAATCTCAAACAGAAGATAAATACGAAACAAGAGTTATTTGTTGGGTTTTTCCTCCCACAAACTAGAAGCTAGAAAAAAAATGAAAATAGAGCGGAGTTTATAAGACAGAAAAACCTCACCAAACTGTAATTCTAGACCCTCTCTTTCTGATGCCCACTGCAGCAGCAAAATGGAGAAAGAATTCTTCCGAGCCTTGTGGAGCCCTGACAGGAGTCCAGGCCAGGGTCGCCACAGTTGTCTTTGGCCCCAGTCAGTCAGAAAGGCGAGGCTCTGGGGTAAAGTCTGCCGTGCTCATCCACAGAGGAGTGCCCCAGGTCCTGGGCATTGAGGGCTCTGAAGTGGTGACAGCCTGCCTGTACAGTTGTGTACCAGTGCCGGGGGTGGGGGCAGGGTGTTGGGGGCAGGGGGGATTCCCAAATATGCATCAAGAATATTCATCACACGAAGTTCAATAGTTTTCTGCCTTTGTCAATTCCCCCCTCCCCATGCTCTCTCTAACCCCCCAAACTTTCGCACGGCTGTGAAGAAAGCAGAGGTGGAGGAAGAAAGCAAAGCAGTCAGAAAAAGGCCTCAGAGTCTGTCCCTCGTCCTTCCCTCCTATTCTAGAGGACAAAGAACTGGCCGAGTTAGTGAAAGTAGCACTAACGACAAGTCAGTCCCTTCGCTCGTTTCGGTTTTGCCCCAGACTCACTCTGGGGACTCCCATTAGCCCCTTTCCCGCTCTGGTTCTCGTCAGCGCTCAGACCAGGCGTCAGACTCAATGACGGCCAACGGCCCATACACTTGGAAGCTACTGGAGGACAAATGGAAATCAACTGAAATTCTGGCTCACGCCACATACACTTCAGAAGGTCATTTCATTCCCCTCAGAGCCGTTTTTCTTATTTGCCCTGTGGAAAACATTTCGAAAAGCAGTCATACTTTAGGGACCTCAGTTTCCCCGGAAGCTCTACATCCAGGAACATGAATAGATATACTCCTGTTTTTGAAAGGCATTCAATAGGCAACGCTTCCTATTTAGAAATGTTTTCTAAACCCAACTCAAGAAACGGGCCATAAGAAAATTTTGTTTGTTAAATGTTTAGTGACTGTATCTTTAATAAAAACAGGTAATTGTGTAAAGGTATTTTCCCATCTTTGCACCACAGCTGTGAATACTCTTGGAGAAGTAGGTCCTTGTACTGCACTCGAGAGAAAGTTCTCTTTCCCAGTTGCAGGAATCGGCCTTATGGTGGGTCTTCTAGCAGCCCCAACTGCAGGCAGCCAGGAGGGAAGCAAACACATTCCCCTCCCTGACCCTGGGCAACCAGAAGCTCCCAGCCACATCATGCTTGGGAACCTGGCCTTCCTTTCCCACACCACGGTGGTGGAATTACACTATGTGCAAAATAGACGCCAAGCCAGATCAAACACTCAGGCACATTGCTTCGTTTCTGTTCCACACAAACAACTCACCGATGAGGAGGCCAGCCCTCCAATGTCTCACCTCCCTCCTTCTCTGATCTGTTCTCTTACTCTAAGTCTGGCCTTCTGACAACCAGGTAGCCAGTCCTTCAGGGGCCTCCGTTTTTCTCCCACTACCCACCTCGTCTCTGTAACCGTGAACATGAGGGGGAAAGCCAAGATTTAGCTGCCTTCTTTCTTTGGCTTCTCAGATGACTCTCTGTTTGGATGTTTAAGTCTCTCCTAGTAGTGACTAGGCTGATCCCAACCTGGACTTCTGGATCTTCATGGCCAGCTTCTTCACACCTGTCCCCACTGTCACCTTTGTGTCCTCTTGCCACAAGTACCACAGAAAGCGCCTTGCCCCAGTTGGCCCTGGCTACTCTCATGGTGATTCCTGTAACCTTGCTTCTTACTGGAGGGAGGTGCCATCTGAGAGAAAAGAGTATTCCCACAATGAGCAAAGCCCCTGGCCTTGGAGGTGACAGAGGTCTGTGAATGGTGAAGGTGCCCACTAAGCACTCTAGCTTTTGAGCCGATGGCATGAGTTCCAGGCTGCACAGAGAGCAGGGCTGTCGGCAGAAGGCAGGCCAGGCCTCTGCCCGCCTCAGTGCTGTCTGCACACGGGACGTTCACTCACAGATCTGCTCCTCGGAGGCTTGACTGTCATCCAGACGATGACCTTTCACGTGCCAGCTTGACTTCCAGGAGGCCTTGCGGTGTTTGCACATTATGTAACGTCTGCACTTCAGTGGAAATCTTAAGGGAACAAATAGAGGAAGTTTGCCAGTCCAAGAAGTGGATCATAAATCCTGCCCTATCTAGATAGAAACTGACTTTCTGTATCCTTTATTTTATACACATATTTGTTGTTGTAGCAAGGTCTGAAAGATTCAAGGAACAAAATACTCAAGTATTTCAAATATGTTGCCCTTCTGGCAAAGATGGCCTCTGCCCTCACAGCCTGGAAGGCAGCCTTAAACCCTTTCTGTGCTCTCTTGCATGGCAGGCCCTTCCGCGAAGCCTTTCTGGAGGACCTGCCCGTCCCTGGGTAGAGACCATCTTACTTTGCATGGTGATGACTCTCACACTAATTATTCTTGAAAGAATATTCAAAATTCCTGCTTTCCTCTCCGTGTGCTTGCAGGCCATCACTGTCCCCGGCCACCCTCCCATCATGGAGGTGGACCTCACGAGTCCTTTTTATAATGCAGCATATTGTGTAATGAACGTTATTTTTATTGAAGTAACACTGCATTATAACCTGATGCCAGATGTGCGTCCTTGTAAACAACATCTGTGCAAAGTACGTAAGGTACCGCTGAAACTCTAGTTCTGTCCCTCCTCTGCAGTCCGCCCCTTTGTCCTCACCGTCTACTACCCATTCACATTTTTAGGAGATTGATTATTCCTTGTAAAAATTGTGGTATTGTTTGTACCTATAGACCTTAGATCCATTTTAAGAAAATCAAGGTGATGAGAAGTAATATCTTAGAAGAATAATCACATTGTACACTTCTGTGTACCTACCCACTTGGTTCGCCTTCTCTGATTAAATTGTGCCCATCTCCAGCGACACCCTTCACTGCAGCACCAAAAACCCGTCCACACTGTAACTGTCAAGTCAGGTTGGGGCTGCTCCTCTGGGCTCTTCCATGGGCACCACCAGCACGGACCACCTGGCTTCCCTCCCCGAATGCCACCACTGCCCTTCCAAATTTCCGGCTTAGCACTCATTTCGGTTGGCTTCACCCCTGGGGCCACTGCTTTGCGTGGCCACCTTAGTGCCAGCCTCTGAAACTCTCCCTTTTGACCCAGTTTTATGCCAGTACCTGCCAGCTGGGCTTCCGAGGGTCGGTTCTGGCATTCATTGTGGTCATCAGCTCCTCCACCACTTAAAAAAGTCACAAGATTTTTTCCTCCCTCGGCCCCTCCGCCTTTGTGTCATGAGCAGCCCTTCCTGGCCGGTCGCTGCTGGACCGGGCGCTCAGGTGAGCAGGGAGAATAATAACTGAAATGCCGTCCTTGCCTTTAGGTACTTCCAGGGTGGCAGGCAGACGAAGGTGAAGAATTTTAATAGATCACGATGAGGTCAGCCTAGGGGCATGATTGGCACCAAGAATGGGGAGCTCGTTTTCCCTGAAAAAAAGTAAGGAAAGAGAAGATAAACAAATCGGGGCTTAAAGATGAGTTGGGATTTTTTCAGACAGACCAGTGGGCGTCACCACAGGCAAGGAGGCTGTGCAGGGCAGCCCCCAGACGGTGCTAGGAGCTGCAGCCACATCCTCTGACCTTTGAAGTGAATGGCTATTTGATCTTCCAACTGTAGCCCTCTCTCAGCTATTTCAAACCTGGAACTACTCAAAGTCTTGTAGTAACATTTGAATATTAAGCAAATTGCAGACGTTGATGGTATCAAATAAAATAGAATATGAGACTCCTCAGTGAGTTTTTTTATACCTGAATTTAGGTTTATAAAGAAACAAAAGTAAATAATTGACATTCTTCTAAAGCATTCTCTTTCCTTCGTGTTTTTGTTTCCATTACTGCTGCTACTAGATATTTCCTTCACTATGGTGCTTGAAATTCTGAATTCTGGTTTCCAGGAATGTTGACAGTCCTTGCCAAAGAAGTGTTTTCTCCTTAGGAAATTACACTTCTATTTTGTGTTATTATTTCTGACCACTGTGTTGTGTTGTAAGCATGCCTGAGGAATGAAAAAGATGGCGTCCTTCAAGCAATTACTGGAAAGGAAACTGGTGTTATACAAGTAAACTTAGATGGGAAATTACAAGAACACCACCAAAAAAAAAAATGTAGGAGAGTAGGTGAGCTGAGATATACTCCCTGATAAAAATTTACTTTTAGAGATGTAATATTCCAGGCCCTCCCTGGTGGCGCAAAGGGTTAAAGCCATGAAGCTATCTGTAACCACTCCAGCACCAATTCGATCCCCAGCCAGGGAGCTGACCCACACCACACAGCAGACCTCTCCTATCTTACCCTCTTTCCCTTAGCAGTGTATTTCAGTCAGTCAGCCTGTTCTGTTCCCCGCCCTCTCTGGTAAATCCTCTCACACACACCCCACCCCCATACCTCTGGGCTGTACCTCAGTTCTTATATGCATAAAGAAATCTTTGGGGAAAGAAAAAAAAGTAATATAAAATCCCTTACAAGTAATTTGGATTTGTTTTATTTAAGAGTGATAGTATAGTAGTTATACAAAAAGAGTGTTTAAAACACAAAAGTTGTCCATATATATCTTTACATATTTATATTTCGTTAAAGGGGAAGGGGAGGCAGAGGGATCAAAACAGGAGAAGGAGGAGCGCACGGACTGTAGTGATGGCACAGGGTGAACTGGTGGTGGGAATTACTAGGGACTTACCTGAGAGGAGAAAGCATACATTGTACAAAAGTGAATATTTTTATATATCTATATGCTATATATGTGTGTGTGTGTGTTTATAATGCTATATATATATATATATATATACATACACACACACACACATATATATTTCTCCTCTCAGGTATTAAAATGAAAATTTTCTTCCTGAACAAGAAAACCACATAAGTCTATGTCTTGTTTTCTCTTCCCAAGTAGTCAGCATCTTAAAAATGAGGGTCCCCCTGCCCCGGAGGTGACCACATGGTGTGGCAGACCTCTCCTGACCCGCCCGCTGCTCCCCTCAGCAGTGTACTTCGTCGATCTGCCTGTTCTGCTCCCTGCTCTGTCTCTGGTGAATCCTCTCACCCTCCGTGTCTCTGGCCTGTACCCCAGTTCTGTATGAATAAATAAATAAATCTCTAAAAAAAAAATTTTTTTTAAATAAAAAAAAAAATGAGGGTCCCTTTGCCTATTTTCAGGTAGGCTTTATAGATCTCTAATTTTTTAAGATTTATTTATGTATGCATACAGAATTGGGGTACAGGCCAGTGGTGTAGGGGCAGTGAGAAGATTCACCAGAGTCAGAGTGGGGAGCACTCTGTATAATAGGGCTCATAATTTAAAACAATTAAAGATCAGGGCCCTCCCTGGTGGCGCAACAGGTTAGAGAGCAGCGCTGCAAGCTAGACACAGCTGCTTCAGTGCGAGTTCGATCCCCACCCCAGAGGTGACCCACATGGCGCCACAGACCTCCCCTGACCCACCCGCTGCTCCCCTCAGCAGTATACTTTGTTGATCTGCCTATTCTGCTCCCCACTCTGTCTCTGGTGAATCCTCTCACCACCCCGGCACCTCTGACCTGTACCCCAGTTCTGTATGCATACATAAATAAATCTTTAAAATAAAACAATTAGAGATCTATAAAGCCTACCTTAAAATTAAAATTCTTCTCCTAGGTATCTACCCAAAAGACACAAAAACACTGATTGAAAAAGATACTGTACCCCCATGTTTATTGCTGCTTTATTTACAATTGGAAAAACATGGAAGCAGCCCAAATGCCCAAAAGTAGATGACTGGATTAGAAAGATGTGGTACATATATACAATGGAATATTACTCAGCAATATTACTCAAAACCAAAAAAAAAACAAAACACATGTCTTTTGCAGCAACTTGGATGGAGCTGGAAAAGATCATGCTAAGTGAGATAAGCCAGAAAGAGAAAGAAAAATACCGGATGGTTTCACTCATAGCAGGAGTATAATGGACCAGGCGAGAAAATAATAAAAATAATGAACAACCATAGATCAGAGACATTCTGTGGGGGTGGAGTGGGGAATGGGATCAAAAATGGGGGCGGGGGGAAGGGAGGGAAATACACGGGACTATAGTGGTGGCACAGGGGTGATTTGGTGAAGGGAAACCTGTGGGGATTACAATCGAGATGGAAAAAAAAAATGTGCAAAATGATGTAAAAATAAACTTTGTAATAAATAAAAAAAAATCTAGGAACTAAAAGCAATATTACTGTGAAAGAATTAAAAAAAAATTAAAATTCTTTTTAGTTGTTTTTCTGTCATCGCCAGGAGAGTTTTCCCTTAGTAGTAGTAGTAGTGGGGAACATGTAGTTCCCCAATCTGCATGATTTATCTGTGACAGCGCTTCTAATCTTTAAATCATAAGAACCCTTTGACCAGGGACCTCTACGCTCACAGCATCTTCTGTGGTATCTGAAATGCTGCTGAAGGTTGCATGTGTTGAGAAGGGGCATGCTTTTATTTCGAGACACACGTGTTGCCCAGCTCACATGCCTCTTGGCCTCACTGACGTGTCATATCATAGCACTTGAAAAGAAAAGGGAGGAACCAGAATTTACAACGGTTAACTTGACATGCATTTGTTCGGTGTATTCTAAGTCTCTGACTTCCTTTTTAAACATAGCTAACGCCGCATACCTTGGGGGCCAAGAAATGATGGAGGTGGTGGAGAGAGATAACGAAACCATAAAGGAGCATTTACCTAAGGTAAGCACTTCAAGGTGGACTGAAATATTTGCTAAAGATAAAAGACTAGAACTAGTTAGAATCTGCAAGACCTCCGGGGCTAGTGGGTTTCTGATAGTTTTACTTCGAGTTATAATCATTGTAGTCCTTGATAGTGACACAGAAAGTGAGTAAAGCTAATTCACAGTTTCTGAAAGATAGTTTGCCACCTGTTTTGTTGGATTTATTTTTAGAATCAATTCTTACTCCTGTTTTATCAAACAAGGCATTTCGGTTTCTCTAAAGTCTTGTACTAAGAACACTCCATCATATTTATATTGTTGGAAATAATATTCAATGTTATTTGGAACATTTATGTTATTGGACACTTTCTTGGGTTATTTCTTCATGACTTCTTTCCTGTCTTCTGGCCTTTCTGTCTGGAACCCCTTTAGAGGAGGTTCTCTAAGTTGTATCTTCCTTCTCACAGCATTTCTCTTTTTGTCTTTGTACTACTTTCTAAGACATTTCTCCCTCCTCTCTTTGCTAGCATTTCCTTCTAGCCAATTTTTATTTTTGCTTTCATGCTGTTAATTTCCAAGAGTATTTTTTTTTTTTTTGGTTCTGTGTCCCTTTTCAGAGTATTCCGTTCTTCACTTTCTCTCATATTCTTAAAGTGTGGGTAAAGCACTGCAAAAGTGTGTTACCATGATCTGATTATTCCATCAGCCTCTTTCTTGATCTCCAATGCTCTAGAACAGGAATGCCCAGCTCTGCCGCCAAGACCAGTTTTCCATATAAGCAGGTGCAAAGACAAGATTGAATATTTAGCATCTGTGAGTTACTGCTGCAAATGCTAACCTTTTGTACAAACACACCTGGAAACGCCAGTCTCTGAAAGTGGGGACCGTGGTTCAAGCACATTCGTTACCGCTAGGGCGCTTGGCACTCCCTGTCAACACGGCCTGTGCTTCCTGAGCAGGAAGTGCTGCACCTCCACCTCCATAAGCTGTCTGCTCACCAGACAGCTAGTCTGAGTGGGGATGTGCCAGATTGTTACAGGGAAGCCAGAGTGGACCGGGCCGCCTGTCTGTGGGGCCTCACCCACACGCTCACAATTCGGTTATACTGCAGGGACATACAAAAGGGTCAATAACGGGTTTGTTTACAAAAGGGGAAAGGAACAGGAAACAACCCAGGGAAAGAGAGCGGGATACAAGTAACTGCAATACCTTATGGGTAGGCTGACTGAACACACAGAGTCACGAGGTCAGGAAAGCTGCTTCCCAAGGGAGAGAGCACGTGAGCCTATTTATCTGCCCAAATGTCCCAGAATTCCTGCTAGCTCCGCCCTGGGGTCCTGCAGTTCTCTCCCTGGTACTGCTGGGAGTTGTAGTTTCCAATCACTGGAGTAGGGGATAGTGTCCAGAAAGCTGGAGTAGGGGGTGGGGTCCATAAGACTCTGCAGAGTTCCTTTGGGACATCCTGCCCCTTAACAAGATTGGATTGGAAAATTTGGTACAGTACTTCCTGAGAAAGAGTAAGCATTTCATTCATGTTCTTGTATTGATCTGTGTCGAAGTGATAGTATTTTTGATATATTGAGACAAATAAAATATAGAAGTAATTTTATCCATTCTCTTATCATCTTTTTAGATGGTACTAGAAATGTCTTTATTACAGATGTCCCTTTATGTGTTGGACTCTACTAATGTGTAGTTAGCGCCAGCGCTGAACTGCAGTATCTGCTGGATACGGTGAAACAGGCAAAATCCTCTAGGGCCCAGGAACCCACAATCTGCACTGCAAATCTTACTCTCCTGGGTTTAGGGTCTCTTCATAAGCAATTTGACTCTAACTTGCCTATAGTGTTAATTCATATTTCTGTAACCTGTCATAAAGCAAATATATATATTTTTTCCAAGTATTGATCATAGTGGCTTCACCTGAGGGGACTCTGGAAAGTGCTAGTCTGTGCTTGTCTATGGCCACAGTGGTCATCACATTTCTAAAGTAGCTGTTGGCTGAGGATTCAAATTTTGAAGCCAGAAGGAAGCCCTCACTAGCTGAGTGAGGAAGACTGGAGCCTCGAAAGGCCTGTCTCCAGGGCTTCCAACTGTTTCCAGTCACTGAGGGATGTGAAGATACAAGAAAAACAGTATTTTATTTTCCAGTTAAATTATAAATGAATTTGTTTCAAAAGTGCGTTTAACTTCTTAAGGCTGGAGGTTCATAAAAAACAGTTCAACTCCTAGTCAATAATCAGACCCGTAGATGCTCACTTCCAAAATTCACACTTGCTGAATAACCAGGCCCGTCATGTGTCAAAGCCCTGCTACCACCTGTGGAAGCCAGCGGCTGTAAAATGGCCCTCATTTCGAGTGAATATTAGAAATCTGCTTGTATGTTGTGCTCGAAAGAGGACATAGGAAGGCGTTAAATTATTCCTTCCTGAGTCAAGCCATGTGCAAGTTCAGTCAATCCCAGACAAGGCTGCCTTGGGAGCTGCATCGGGGACTGTGGGGGACAGCGCCTTTGGGGGCAACGTGGAAGGGCAGCGTCAGGTGGCTGGTGTCTCCAGGCTAATGTTAGCACAGGGTCCAGTAACAAGCTTTCCCACTACCACGAATGCTGGTTTTTCTGGTAGCCTTACATGTACTTGTGGACTCTGGGAAAACAAGATCTTGTTTAGTTTGATGACCTACAACTACCTTGCAATTAATGATCCTTTCTGCCCAAAAAGTTAGAGCCCCACTCTAGAATAGTACAATTCAAATCCTAAGTAAAACAGGGTCAGAGAGACGGGAAGTTTATTGCAACTTTTGTTTCTATAGTGAAAAAAGAGGAAACATGCTATGATTTAATATTGATAAAGGTTGAATCAACAAATGTCCCGGTTGGCTTGAGAAAGTAAGAAAACTTGAAGGGGCACGTGGTTCCAGGGAGACCATGGGTCATGTCTCCTGCCTGCCAAACCCCCTGAAAATTAGTCAGACTTGAGAACCAGTTCCCAAGACAGACATGTCCCTGTTTTAAATATTCTAGTTAAGGACACTCTGCCCCATTTCAGCCCAGAAGAGGCCTTTCCAAATGCCCTACCTGTCCAGGATGGTCCAGCATGAACACTTTCAAGCCACATACTTTATTGTAAAGTTCATCCAACCTATATCAGACCTGCAACTTTTAAAGCAATTCTGAAAAATCTTTGTACCATCCGTGCAGGAAGTCACAGGAAAGTAAGTCTAGGAACAGCCTTTCTACTGCATCATACGAATGGCTCTCGGCTTACTTCTCCTCCAAAGGCGGTAAGAGTTGGCTCCAGATTCAGATTTCTACTGCAGGACTCCCATTATCTACATGAGACAACTTTTATCTTCTTGGGGGGACTGGATCTTTTTAAATCTGAACTATTTTCTAAGTGATCTTCTTCCGTCTTTCCTTCCAAGATCTAGAGACGCCGTGTTTATTTGTGGCGCTTCAGGGATGCGTGGAACCATTTCTTTCCTGCAGCAGATATGTCTGACCCATTGTTTCCAAATATGCTGTGGTCTGTAGCACCATAGGTTGTGTTCTTTCTCCACCTGACTAGGCCCTACCTGTCCTATAGGAGGCTCCAGTGGTGTCTCTATGAGGCCTTCCCCAGCCCCTGGTTCTGGTTCTGCTTAGCTGTCCCTCCTGTTGGCGCCCATGGCTGCCTATGTGAAGTTACAATATTGCACTGATGTGCGATACTGAAGTGGTCAGCATCTCCCCTCCCCCCCAGCCCTCCTCCCTCCCTGACCACTTGGACGTGCAGAGCTGTGGTTTTCTCATCTCAGCGGCCTTAGTTAGGGCCCAGCGCAATGCAAGGCACCTGGTGAGCAACCAGTAGTGTGTACCAGGTGCACAGATGGGGAAGCCTCAGGGCGTCAGCCCCCTGGAGCCAGGAAGTCCCTTGGCTCCCACACAGGGTGCAGCCCCCACCTCGCCATGTGTCCCAGGCTCACCACACTGATACCAAAGCACCAGTGATATTCCAGTCTGGCTACCGTAATGTCTTCAAAGCAAATATGTCATGCCATGTGTGTGTCTTTGCTAATACATTAAATAACAGGAAACAGCAGCCCTCGGAATTGCTCTTATGAATTTGTAGTGATGCGCATAAATACTTTTTTTAGTTTTCTGCAGTTAATGTGCTGTGATTTGAAAATATCATACTCTATGATTTTACTACTACTACTAAATAGAATAAACAGTATAGCATATTAGGGTTTGTTGCGTATGTTCATAATTAAAGGGGACATAAATCACGGTATTTAGTAAATAGGTATCAAAAATATAGACGTTACCTTTTCTCACCTGAGTTTACACCTCTCCCTCTGCCCCTGCTTCTCCTGGCCATAGACCTGCATGGGCCCCACACCAGTAAGGAGACCATGTCAGAGCCAGCGGGACAGGCTGGGTGGCAAGACGGGGTGCCTGGGCTCCAACCTGAGGGCAAGGAGCCACAGGGCGTATGCGGCAGAGACCAGGTTGTTTGAGTTGTTGGAGGGTTTAAGTAAGGGAGCAGGAATCAGAGTGGTGTTCATGGTGGGTGCCTGCCCCGTGACATGGCCACAGGCCAGTGAGGACTTGTGCTACCTGTGACCAGCAGCCAGGTCGGGTACCTGTGCACATGGGTGACCCTGGGAATTGGCCGGGTTAACAGATGAGAAGGGTTAGTTAGGGGGAAATGTGTGGCAAAATATTGGAAGAAAATGAAATTTGAGGTGAGGCGGCTATTTGAAAGACCTTTATGAGAACTTAGGCAGTGGGACTGAGGTGAAGATGGTTAGAATTTGGGAAAATTTAGGAAGTAGAATCAAAGACACTTAGTACTGGTAGGACGTGAGGCTGTGGAGGCGAAGGAGTCAGAGGCGACGTCTCTGTACTTGAACGTGGTAGTTAAGACCAGGCCTGTGGGATGGGGAGAGCACCAGCACGTTGAGGGAGGAGGTTAAGAAAGGTGGTTCGTTTTAGAACTTTCGTTTGGCTGCCTGTGGGTCCCCCCGTCCAGTAGGCTG